CCCGGTAGCTTTCCCCATATTTCCGAAGTATCGCCCAACAAGGAGAATGATGCCCCATTTACGCACAACGGCATTCCCCACGGAATGAGCAACAAGAAGCGTCACAGAGCAAGCTCAGACGAGGACGATGATGATGATGAAGGCTCTAAGCGAGGAGTGAAGAAGCTGCGCAAGAACCCGCCGGTGGCGGAGGGACATGCTCTCGTAGCGCCGCGACTCATCGGCCAGACATCCCCGAGCAAGAAGCCGCTGGGCTCCACGCCCCAGACACCTAGCACGCAGAAGAAGAAGAAGACGGGTCTGAGCCTGAGCCGGCTGCAGATGCTCGCCCAACCGAAAATTCGAAAATAGATGATTGCACCTCAGCGAACGACCACGTCGGGATAGCTCAGGATTGGTATTCTACATTCATGGCATACGACTCTCACGGTTGAATGCTATCATGATGTCGACTTGACTTGATTGCCTACTCAAGAGGGTAGCATTGCGCTTATTACGGAGCGCTTTGATAGAATATGTTCTCTGCAGGAATTGGCGGCTGTGGGTAGATATTCTGACATATCCGGCACGCCCCTCATCATCATGGGGGTAGCCAACCCGGGTTCTTTGTTCATGTTCACATTGAAGAGAACCATGTCGTATGGTAGACATGGCTCTGTATAACTAAAGGGAAAGGAAAACTTGTTTTACAATCAGGGGAATTTGGCGGCAGGGATGAGGCGTTTGGGTGGCACTGGCGTTGTTGGGATAATACGATGAAGTATGAATGAAACTCGAGCCCAGCACTCTCTCTGGCCGGGCCGGGACGGTCCCGTGTATTATTCGGAATACGGTTCTATGACGATCTAGACTGTTCACTTGACTTATCGTTTTGCTGTTGATATTGCTGTTGCTGTGAGATGGCTTGCTCGTGACTAGACTCCATTTCTGAAGTGATATTATTGAAATGGTGCAGTGCGAAGAAGCATTGATGTTTGTTTGTCTTCTACCGACATGCTAGATGCGACTGATATCGATCTCCTATAGACTATCAGGATTGATGACTGCCTTAACGGAAGCAGCCAGAGTTGGAATGTGAAGGAACTACCGCACCCTATCCCAGTAGGCAGGTAAGTACCTAAGGTAGGGAATACTTGCACCTGCCCTCGCCAAAGGTATGAGCTCGGATATGTCGTTGATTCGCTCCATCGCACAACAGGAACTGACAGCCTTTCACCGCCGTCGGTCCATCCATTCATTCCATTCATTCCATTCATTACATTACATTACGCCCACACACCATTCCCGCACCTAATCCAACATCTCCCCGTAGGTTTCTTCGGCTTCTACCTATCTACTCCATTCATGTGTCTACCTTTCATTCCTTACTACCTATCTATCACGTACCGACCGATTACATAATCTTGCCCAGACTACGCACAATGTCAGAACAACTGTTCACTTGGACCTCCTGCCGAGACGGCTCCGACAGCCCGTCCCCCGTCCTCGATCACGAGACCCAACTTGTCTGCGACGCGATCCGCGACCCCGCGATCTGCTGGGTTTGTGGTGATGTTTTCTGTCACGGGTATGAATATCTCAGTCCGGGACAATTTCCCTGGCACCGCGCGTGCTGCAGATATCTGCTCTGCGGTGATATCACCAGGTCAGGGTTTGGGGAGTCGGATGATTGCCAGAATCACAGTGGCGAGAATCGTGATGTTAGAATAGATGACGAGCTCGATTCATGCACAGGAGTGGCCAGGCGCAGAAGAGAGAGTGACATAACCGGTATCCCCTTATGTGTCTACTTCTTCATTGCCTACGAAGACGACAACGACATTGGTCTACCGGTAAAAGCACACAAGAGAGCCGACCTCGTTGACGAGGTGCTGAGATGGAGGGCCACAACCACCACAACACCAAATCAAACTCAACTCGGGGGCGACAGTTCGATGGACATTCCGCCGTCACCTCTCATCCCTCCCTTGGACAGAGATGGCGTTGAGGCCACGGGTGTGAGCAACATGGACGGTATACTCCCAGGCGAAACGATAGCGAAACTACACATCCGGCGGTCGAAGCAGGATCCGCGGTTCGTGGAGCTCGAAGGCGTAATACCACTAGACTCGGCCATGCAGATCTCGATGGATCTCAACCACCCCTTTCACACTCGCGCGTGTACACAACCCCACACGCCATCACATCCTCCCGTTCCCGTGAGACGATCTTTGCCGTGGCTACGTTCGCAGAACCAGGAGAAGGAGCGGCCGGCGTCTGTTCTCGATGCACATTTCCTCCCGTGCTGCATCAAAAAACCAACCCACTCTCGTGTTGATATTTACGAAGTACCGCAGGGCGAGGATGGACCTGTGATAACCGGAGCGCAAATAACGCCGGTAATAGAAAGTCCAGGCTCACTCGTCGCGGTAAAAATCGGTGCACATTTCCATGCCCACAAGATACCTGGTATAGATCCTCCACAGTCATCATACGACACCCATCCCCCGCAGAGCCAAAGCCGAGATTTACCTAAACTTTCTACCAATTTACATGACGCGAAAGGCAAGACGCCACCCAAAACCCGATCACCTCCTGCGTTTGAGGTGCGAGCTTTGGCTGACACCGACGAAACATCGAGACAGCTGGCTTCGATGCTTACGGAGGAGGAGGAGGAGGAGGAGGATAAACAAATTAATACCGATACCAACACCGACACCGACACCGACACCGACAACGATACTTACATCGTCGCGGACACCACAAACACGAACGTAAACAACCCAGACATGGAATCAAATAAAGACCCGATCCCCGAGGCGAAGCCAGAAGGCAAGGGGAAGAGCGTCGCATGGGACCCGACGGTCGCTGGAGGCGAGAGCGATGCCGAGAGCGAAAGCAGCCACGAGAGCTACGAACGGGGGCTCGACTACTACAACACACCAAGAAATACCCCGCAGGGCGACCCGCGCAAGCGTCGGACCGTAGCACCGACATCTCTACAGCGCGAGACGCCTGCGGAGTCGAAGGAGTATATCGAGTCATACCGCCCGACGGACTCGGATAAAAGAGACGAGACGACGCGCCTGGCCAGTCTTGCGATGCCTGGACGACGGCGGGGACGCCAGATTGGGAGGGGAAGGGGGGTGCTTTGTTCAAAGTGTGGGCATTGGGAGCAGGGGTAAGGGGATTGGTTGGGGCAGAATGTTGGCTGTTGGTTACTTGAAGTATGATTATGGGTTATGAGTTACGAATAGGTTGCGGGTAAGGTGTGGGTTACTGGTATGTCTAGGATAGAATGCGTTACTTGAATTGTGTGAATTAAGAGAGTACCTATGAAATTGATCAGGCATCGATTGTTTCATTTCTCGTGATTATGCGTACGAGCTGTCGTATCGTGACTGATGTGGTAATACGTATATCCAATCCTGTCCCATCTCATCTTAATGGGTGGTATCATGAGCAAAAGAAAGTCCGCCACCTGCCAGTCGTGTCCGTTCCATAGTCCTACCTCCCATCCATATATCCATTCAATTTCATACATACATATAACAACACTTTACAAATCCCCAAGGTGTAATACACGGGGAATGGTGTATAACTAGCCATTGTTCGCCGTTTAACAAGACCACAAGAGAGACGGTCCCAAGCAGCGAACGAAATGAAAGCAAAGAAGCTAATTCTTGACCGCCCGACTCACGGGTGCCGTGCCCTTGCGCTGTGTGTAGAGCATGTATCCCAGGACGACAGCGGCGCAGGTACCGAGGATGAAGAAATTGTCTAAGGTGTGTAGAGAGTTAGTTACGCTGTTTCGACACTCGTGATGGCAAGCTAATGTAGGAAGGATGCCCGGCATGGAGTTGAAGTAGGGAGGGGGATGAGAGGATAGGGAGCATAAGCAGGAGAGGGACAGGGAGGGAAAACTCACGAAACGCAAACCCAAGCGTCCCCTCGACGAAGCTCACAAAGCCCCTGAACACGCCGACGATGCTGCTGATGACGAACTGGAACAGCTGTCCGATGGAAGCAAATATGCCGCGGATCGTCTCCAAGATCGATTCGACGAGGTGGGTTAGACCTGATGTTACGCCCATTTTCACAGACACGCTTTTCGTTTTAGGGTTTTTGTTTGGACTTGAGTTCGGTTCGTGGTGTTTGGCTGCAAGTAGTAATATGAATATGGCAGCAGGATTTGATGAGGCAAGGTTGGATACAGCAGAGATAATTTGTTTGGTTAATAGCGAAGTTGGTAGACAAATAAATATAAGTACGCAAAGATAAATGCACGATTGATCTTACGAATTCTTTTCGTGCTGATATGCCACGTGCCAGCTCAATGGTAACATACGTCAGTCCAGCTACAAACAAGGCAGTCAGCCCAACAAATCCTCGGCAATATGACCATTTCCTCCGGGAAAGACAACCAGCTGGTACAGGATAGACAAAGAATCTGCTACACGGCGATGACGAGGTGGTGTCGGGGATGGTGATGTCATCACTTGGGTGTCACTGTAAACATACAGTCCTTTTCTAAAGGTACGCGAAAGATATGATTGGATAGAGATGGCCATGCATTTTGTACTACTAGATGAGGCAATGCCGTGGATCTTGATTGGTTGGGGCTTTGACTGCGCCCGTTGTCTCGGCTCGGTCCCGTTGTCTTGGGACTGGATTCAACTGATACTGATATCCTACCTAGGTACATCAGATAGGAATGAGTGGATAAGTCAAGTTTACCTATTGAAGAGACGATTCTACAGTACAAGTGTCTTTAATGATTATGAATAGGCTTTTAGCTACATAGGGCACACTATAAAAAACTCTGGTGTAATTCAGTACACTAAATGAACAATTTAACAAAGTATGCAACGCAAGCTTACTTTATTCTATCATACACATCCCGACAGATCGAAAAACAACAGCGTAGAAGAATGCTACCTACCCCAAGGACTCAAGATATCCAAGAACTCGACCCCACGAAAAGGGAAACAAGAAACTATACAATCCCGCCAAAATAATCACGATCCTAGCCGGACTCGATCCGACATTCTCTAGAGGTATTCATTTGCACCAATCCAGCGCCCTACCATTGGGCCACGGAACCAGTGCTCGTTCGAGGGGCACGTGACGACCACTTCGTTGTTGTGCCTTACTCATGCGAAGGAATTGGAGGTGTGCATGTTTGATTACATGGCGTGCTGGGAAGATTAGGTAGGCAATGGTATAGCTTGATTGTGGTGCTGGCGGTGGGTATTTAGTAAGTCTGGATTGTTACAGGAGGTAGGACATAGACGCAGAAGTACCTAGAATCGGAAGGGCATGGGAAGCCAAATATCAGGTACATAGATAGGCAGGCAGTTCCACGCGCAATGTAACCATAAAAGGATATGTTCACATAGAAACATTGCTTTGCAGTCTAAGTAACGTAGGGTAAAATATCTAGTTAGGCACAAAGTTACGAGAGGGGAGTGTACCCATGTACACAACACACGACATGACACAATCCCACCGGTAAGCCGCCTCCAGTATCGTTATCCGGCCCTCTTTTATTTTTTGTTCCGAAATCTTCGTAATACCATGCTATTCTTTAAGGGGAGAGGCATCGATAGACGCAAGGAAACCATGTCGAGGGAAAATAATTGAACAGTGTGGTATTATACTCGTATAACAAAACAGGCCCAAACGCCGCCCAATGCCCGCCATCATCATTCAGCCTTCATTCTCGTTTAATACTTACCCAGGCGCGCACTCACGCCGCATTCTGCGTCTGTGGATGCGCGTCGAGGTCGACGTCCGCCACCAGGGTACGTTGGTGGGCGGAATTGCGCACGAGGTTACTGAAGTACTTGAACGCGACCTCGCTTTCCACGCGCGTCTTGAGCGTCTCGTCCCTGCGGGAGCCGAGCTGCTCGACGGAGCGCGTGAGGCCGACGCGGAGGTTGTCGGCGGGGAAGCGGAGGACCTTGCGCACCGAGGAGGCGATGCGGGTGCTGTTGGCGTGCACGTAGTCCATGGAATCAAGCCGGGCCGAGAGCTTGGCCGATAAGCGGTGAGGGAGCGATTGTGGGATCTGCTGGAGAACGTACGCAGCGGCGGAGATAACTATAGAGATGGATGTATTTAGCAGACGAAACATGGTACCAAGTGTCTGGTGCATGGGGACTTACCGGCCAGGGCAACTGCAGGGACAATCAGTTTCCTGAGGTTTTCATTTCCGACAATCTTGGCGGCGCTCAGTGCATGGTCTACCCAAGTAGATCCACCGACTAATCGTCCTCCTATAGCAGTTGCTAAAGTCAAAGCCATGCCAGTACCAGCCACCTTCTCCTGGCGTTGCATCAGAGTCGACCAGTCGACGAGATCCAAAAGTTCCGTCGGCAGCTCGATCTCCTTTGCCAAGGCATCTCGTCGTCTTCGGAACATGACATCGGATCGGAAACTGAGGTCGTGATATTCATTGCCGAGATGAAGGATGCCAAGCTGCTTGATAGTGTTGACTCCGCCGACGGCCCTGGAACGAGCACGCTCTTCACAGCCTGTGACGGCAGTAGAGATTTCGTTTAGCATCGCTTCCTTGAGATCCTCGGCAAAGTCGAACACGCCGAATAATCCCGGGTAGGGTACGCCTAGCGTGCTGTCACCGACATGGGCAATCGCCGAGTGGAGGGCGTTTCGTGAATGATCGTAAATATCCTTGCAGGTTGCCTCGATAGTGTAGTCAATTTCATCGCCAACTTCTGTCTTCGCTTTCTTAGAGGATTCCAGCTGCGGTTCAATCTCTTCCAAATCCCTTGTCACACGGTCTATCTCGGATTTCGCGACCTCCAAATTGACGGTGGCAAGAACATTGAGATCATTCAGAATGTTCATGAGATAGGTCTTGGCGGGGGTGAGCTTAGACCGTGCTCGTTTTTCCAGAACAAAGTGCCTCAGAGACTGCTCTAGTCTCCGGAAGTCTTCAATCTTCTCCTTCTCCTTCCCCTTCCCCTTCGGATCGTTGCTTGGCTCATCCCCTCCACCTCCGCTAGAGCTACCGCTGCCTCCCCCACCAGGACCACCCGGGGGTGAGGGGCCCATCGGGATGGCGTTGCTTGAGACGAAATGTACCAGTTCTGACGATTCCTTGTATGTGCGGGGGCTTAAGCCATAGACCTGCTCCAAGATCAACTTCTGGCATCGTTCCTTGTCACGAATCATATCAAAACCATTGACGACCATGAATATGTAGGCCTTCTCTGCTGCTGCGGCCCAGATGAATTCCTTGGCCGACTGCGTAAAGTGGTTTGCAGCAGAAACGACAAATACAACGACGTCGATCTCTTCCTGTCGGGCAAAAATAGCGGTGGTCTTGGTCGTGTCCGAGTTGAGGCCGGGCGCATCGATCAGGGCAATGTCCACCACGCCGTTGTTCAACAGCGACTCGTCCACTGAGCGGATATCCTTGACGTATACCTTGCACTGCATGTAGGTCGTGTTATCGAGCACGATCTGTTCGAGATCGGAGAGCGGAAATACATCGTAGGTGGATTCGTCGTGTCGGTTATAGAAGGCGTCTTTGTGTACCGCGTGCACCTCCTCCAAGCCTCCATTTTCCCGCGCATCCAAAACCTCGCAGAAGATGCTGGTACAAGGTTGTTGATCTTCAGGTAACACCTTGCGCCGCAGCAATGCATTGCAGAAGGTCGACTTGCCAGCGTTCAAATCTCCGGTTATCAGGACCTTGCTAGATGTATCATCAATTCTCTCCCGTAGCGATGTCAGGTGCTTAATGCTGGTGCGTATCTTGCCGTCCAGCAGCGACGCCACAGAGTTCTTCTCCAAAGAGTGGACGAGCTCAGCCTGGTTTAGGGCGCCCAGCTTGAGATCGAGCTTGAGGATGGAGAACTCCTGTGCAATCTGGGGTGTAATTAACCGGGGATCTTCGGTAGCAGCTCTGGTTTCGGCATCTTTGCTGGACTCGGCGGGACCGTCGTCGGACACAGTGGTCATGGACCGTCGCAGAGGACGTGGTGGGTGTGCGGATTCGCCAACAGTAGAGACGGCACGGTGTAAGCCGTGGCCTGACATGGGACGTTCGGATGCGACCAGGTCGGCGCGATGCACAGACGGGTAGATGGCAGGCCAGACCGCATTCGTCTCCTGAAGGCCCTGCAGGAGATCGACGACCCTGTTGATGGCACGGCCCAGGGCAACTCGCTGCTGATTGTACCATAGCTGCGTAATGGCGGTGACGTGGTTCCGCTGCTCGGTCTCAGAGCCTCCGGGCAGTTGTCGCGACAGCACCAGGTCCCCGGAGAGGCTCGGGTCGGTTCGAGGCGAGCCCAGGGGCAGCTTGGACGAGCCGGGCTCGTCGCCGGCGATGCTCCCACCATATCCCGAGTCGCGGTCCAGCATGGACTGCAGCCGGTTGGCGTGGTACGAGGTCGAGCCGCTGCCGACGGTGGCATAGGCGGGCCGTCCGGTCCCGTTCACAGTCTCGGGCGTGGCAGGCCGGCGGGGCCCATGATGGGCATCATCGCTGTCGTCGTCTCGGTGGTTTCGGGCAGCGGATTTGCCTTTGGACCTGCCCTTGGACTTGCCTTTAGACACGGGCGGGAAGTACTCCTGGCTCATGGCGATTGTGGCAGTCGCTAGATGTCGGGATCCATTAAACACGCCTATGACTGGGCGTAGACGCTGTCGTGTGGCGGCGAAAGTTGGAGTGGTAGGTGTGGTAGGTGTAGGTGGGTTGGGTTGGGTTGCGGTTGATGTTGTTGAAATTAGGTGGCGGTCTGGTGGGCAGAAGAGTGGTCCGAGGAAAATGCTGTACCGTGATAGGTATGATAGGTATTTTCCGTCACTTGCATTGGACCCCGGCGGTCCAGCGGCAAGATAGCTGTCTGATTCAATTAGTGCAGTTAAGTGGGTTATAGGTAGCTCCAGTCATGTTGTGCGGGAACAGGGGCCAGCCACCGGATGATTGGTTATGTCATCTTGAATGACAGATCCTTACACACAATGTATACCGTGTGTCTATACAGTGCACTACCTGCTATCTAGAGGTACCTCTATTCCTGCCTTTCGTGGCTGCTTTGCCAAATAACTGACTATCCAGCGTTGGAGTAGAACGCAGTGTACAGAGTCGTATACAGTGCGCAATTCCATCAGGCCTCACAAACAAGGCAAACGCATGCTCTACACATGTATGTAGCTACTTACCTACCTACATAGTCTTTGACTGACGTCGTTTTGATCCCACTCAAGGTACTTATAGGTACCCAGGCCAGGTACCTACCTGCCTACATAGAAGTAGGTGCACTCCAGCGCAGTAGTCCCGTACCTACCCTCCTATCTTATCTTCCTCGTACCGCCGAGCAACGTTGGCCGAGACACGCAACAATACAAGACAGGAACCTCACCCGCCAGCTATCCAGGCTCCCATATTCCCAAAAGTCTTCTTATTGCGCACCGGTCCAACTACTTCTCTTCTCTTGCCAAACCTGATAGCCAATCCAACCTGATCGGGCTATTTCATCACCACAAAAGCGATGAATGTGAGCATGCACCCATCGGAACCCGGAATACTCTCGCAAGATAAGACAGAATAGGCTGCTAACGCTGACTTGTGCTGCAGATCTTGGAATGGGCTTTCGGCAAACGCATGACGCCAGCCGAGCGTCTGCGCAAGAACCAGCGTCTCCTCGACAAGGCCATCCGCGAGATCGACCAGCAGAAGGTCAAGCTGGAGAGGCAGGAGAAGCAGCTCGTGAGCCAGATCAAGCAGAGCGCCCAGAAGGGTCAAATGGGCGCCGCCAAGATACAAGCGAAGGATCTGGTGCGCACGAGGAGGTCAGCACCGCACCGCATCGCACCGATTCAATCCCATCCATTCCGTTCTGTTTGGCATGTTCATCAGCCTGGCCTCGCTGACTGACCTCTTCTCCCGTGGTACAGATACATCGAGAAGTTCTACGGGCTCAAGAGTAACCTACAAAAGATATCCCTACGCCTCCAGGTAATGCCATGGTCCGCTTCGAATGCCGCGCTTTGCTAACACACGGAACCTACAGACGCACCGGACAAATGAGCAGATGATGCAGGCCATGAAGGGTGCCACCATGGCCC